ACAACTACATTAACTTGTGTATCAGCTCATAGCACAGTTTAAATGGTTCAGTGAAGCTCCAGATGAAACTTAGTCTTTATTTCTATCATATTTAATTAATTTAATCAGCTGTTTCTTTAGACAGAATAGCTAATCAGTACTCAAAGATTTACACATCTGCACTGATGCTGGGAACTGATGTTAGTTCCCAAGTCAAGATGTATTCACTGGCAAAATTGTGTAGGTACCATGAATATGTACAACATCTTACTCTTCTGAACATGGCAGCAGGCAGTTTCTGTGCATGCAGTTCTCAAGCTGCCTGTTCCCATATATTCCATGGACACATAAGACTTCATATTTCTCTTTCTTCTCAGCCTTCACCACAATGTCTGTCACTCAGGGTTCTTGACTCTTAAGTCCTTGCACTTTCAATAGCATAAATTGAGCCTGATGAGAAATCTAAGTCCATAAATTGCAATAGTATTGGTTATGTTAGGGCAGACCATCTTCCCTATCCAGTTCACCACATTGCCACATGAGTGCTTGTGCTAATGCTAAGGGGACGGTAAACATATGGGAATGAATGACAGGAGGCTGGAGAAATCCTAGCAGGGCTTATGCTGGCACACAGTGCCTGTGGGGCTGTGCTGACACAGGGAACGATTTCACAATACAGCTTTAGACAAGTTAGCCATTCACTACCCAGGGTAACAGGAGATCTATTTCCCCTGTTCCTGCTTCTGGATGTGTGCTTCTGCCACTTCAAGTCTGCACTGACACTTGTCGACTTTCTTGGTGAACTAATACCATTCACTAAAATGGCAGGAAATTACAAAAGAGATGTTAATTTTCCTGCTAGCTTCTGTGGTTTGAATCAGTTTACCCTGTGATCCGTTGCACAGTGGGGAGTGAAACAAGGAGTGGAAGGGGGAAGAGATACTCCCTTCTTTTGGCATTGGTGAGGACTTAAATCATCTCAGCTGCATTCACATAACCATATTCACATTCGGTACTGGGGCTTCGCAAACTAGTTTGAGCAGCCACTGCACCTGCCAATTTTTACCAACTTACTCCTGTCCCTGTGCTGCCCTTTGTGCTTTGTTTGAATTGCTAGGGCATCAGGTCAGTTTGGGACACAGACATGGCTGAAAACAAAACAACACTTTTCCCCAGCGTTCATCTTGTTGGGAAATGCGCACAGCGGATCAGTAAGAGTCAGTGTAGGGCTGGTAGGGGGGCTGATTTAAGCTGACACTGTTGCCAGACTGTGAAACTGCTGCACTGTGCACAGTTCACCCAGTAGTTTGCTGGTAGCAGTTTGCAAATGCTGTTAATGCTAACTTAGCTTCTGCTAAGGTTTTGCCTTGTGTCTGTCATTGTCTGAGATTTGTCACTGCTGCAATTTCTAGATACCATGGTCTTCATTGCACATTTAGCTTGGACATGGGGCTTTGGGTTCAGGTATTAGTCAAAGAAAGACTTGACTGCCATCGTTGTTGCAGTCTGCTTGGAACTGTGTAGTGCCCTCCAGGCCACTGTATCTGCATGGATTCATATTAACTTCCCTCTGCCCCAGCAAGAGATCCTACATCTTTCCAAATCTGTTTAATGGAAACCCCGTTTCCTCCTGAGCTCTAGTCAGAGATACAAATACCTTTTCAAAACTCATATATGAAGACCTTCAGAGACGCTTGTTGCTCCCATTCAGTCCATTGTGTCCAGAAAAGCTCATTTGCTTTCTGGTCGCTGTCATCAAAGGGAAGGTGTCTTTCAAGAAGGCTTTGGGGTCTGAAACTGAGTGGGAACATGCCACCCTTGAGCCTCGGTATTCGGAAGGAAGAGTGGCCTAGTACTGTTCTCATTGCCTGTTGTGTTTGGTTGTCATATTGCACTGCCAGCTAGTTGTCTTAAATAAGGTGTTGTCACACTGATGTGCTGCACAATAGAGGACCCAATGAAAAAAGATCCATGTCCAAGAGAAAAAGGAAAGGTCTGTGTTTTCTGTAAACAACGAAAATAATGAGTTTCAACTGCAAGAGGAGGAGATCAGAATATTCTGAAAGATTAAATAGGCCCAGGCAAGGAGAGCAGACTTTTGAAGCAAATCTGGTTTTGGAAGTAAAGAATAAAGAGAAATGAATTCCAGTGAGTGGATTTCAGTGTATGTAAAAGAGTAATAAAACCCCAGTGGAATAACTAAGCTGTCATTTACTTGCGATTGCACAAGTTTTCCAATGCAAATTCTAAATGGAAGCAATACGGGAAGTGTTCTTCTGTGGTCATGATCTAGACAGCACTGGTCTTGGTACAGAGTAACACACAGGTGAGGAAGGTCAGAATGCCAGTGAGGTACAGGTTTTAAACCTCTTAAGATATTTTTGTCCCCCTTATCCTGGCTTGGTACTGGAAAACTATCTTCATATAATAGACTTAAGTATTTGAGCACAGTCAATATGCTTTGGGCTCTGTGGTGAGTATGCACCTGTACACCGAAAATGTTAGTTCCACATAACCTCCAAGTGTCCCCCACAAAAAATATTTATTAAATGTATAAATCTGTGGATTTGTGAGCTACCACTCTTCTGTGAGGATGGAAATGTAGGAGCTGCAATATTGTTACTGTTAGAGAAGTAAGCTGCAGAGAGACCTAAATATGACAATTCGTTTGGTCTCGGCCTGGAAAGTAGCACTGAAAGGCACTTCAGAACTATCTTATTAAGTACAACTTCTTCTGTGTCCTGAGTTTTGCAAGAGGATAGAGACACAGAGTGTAAATGGACTTTAATCAGATTTTTCTGTGGTAACACGTGGCACGGCTCCGTAAGCAACAACAATAAATGGTAGTGCCAGTGCAAATAAAGCAGCAATGATTGCCAGTGTTTTCATTTATGAATCCCATGGCTCTGCCCTGAGTATAGCTAGAAAACATGGGTGCCACCCACTGGCATCACTGGTGGGAGGTGCATAAAGGAGTAGGTAGGAACCTTTTTTACAGGAAGAGGACCGCTGTAGACATGGTTGCTGTGTCAAAGGTTTTTTCCATGGATCTTTACGACTGTATGAGCATGTTTCTGCATAAGCACAAGTCAGTATGTGTGTGCTTATATGTGCCTGTGTGTGCACGTTGTTTAAATGTACGTATGCATTCTAGTGAGCATCTGAAGCTCAAAACAAAGACATTTGCTAGTGTTAAGATGGAGCTTGGACTCCTTATGACTCGGTGCAACATGATTGCTGGCTAATGGTCCTAAAGCTGATTTCCCTGTGATGCTGTCATGTCTGTTCATACATGTGTTTCATATCTGTGTGTATCTGAGAATGAAAGAAGCCAGGACTGTTCCTTTTATGATGATACCTGTGTATTTATGTGTGTATGTGTTACAGCCAAGGTAGGTTAACTTTGTGTGCTTGCTTTCAGAGTGTACCTGAAAAAGTTCGTGTTGTGGCTGTGTTATTGCTCCTTTGACTGGATTCATGTTGTAGCCACACCCTGAAAACAGATGAATTTGCTAGCATATTAAGAATCAAAGGAAATAAAAAAATGAAACAGACTTTTTGCGGTATTTCAAAGTGCAGGCCTATTCTATTTTCCTCCTTCTGCTGCCTCTGTTGTGTAACGGATAAAGTATAATTTCACACATGAATTTTAAGTATGAGAACAAACTCTGTTTAATGTTTTGTCCATCACTAACTCCCATAAAACCATACTAATATCAATAAGAATGCCGTATATTATTATTAACACTTGCCATTGAGATTAATTGCCTCTAACTCATAGCTGAAAATAAAGTACTTACAGGATAAAAGTCCCAATGCCTATAAAATGTTCTAGATGATACTGTTTGTGAAGCTGCTAAGTCTTAATTTTTTGACAATGTTTATATGGAACAATAGCTAAATGTGCATGCCTTGCCTTTCTGTCAGTCATCACTATTCACCACATAGATTTTTGCAATTTAAAAATAGTAGTCCAGGTCCTCTTCTGATGTCAATCAACGCAGCAGCACAGAACTTATTCCTATTTAATTACTTCAATCCTCAGTAAAGGTAGTCTACTTAGTGTAGCAGTGGGGCATCTTTTAAAGTGCTTATGCATTCTCTCCAGAAACAAAGATGTGCACCAACTTGAACTGAAAGACAAATTCTTACAGGGGAAATCTCCCTCTGCAATGCCAAACAGCTGAAATTCTGGAACAAGGATGTGTAGAACACATAGACACTGGCATACACTGGTGACTCTAGCCCTTTCTGAGCCCGGTTGTACACGACAAACCCACTTACACAACCAGAAGGCTTTGCTGATGCATGACTGCAAATGCTAAGGGATTAATGATAGCTGAAATTACAGCTGGAAAGGTGCATGCTTGCACAGGCTCTGGATTTTCAACTATAAATGCAGAGGAGTTCCAGATGTGCTTCAGATTAATTACAGACCTGGCAGTGTTAAGGACTCGGTACCAGAGAGGCCTAATGACAAGGCTTCATTTCTCCTTGTCTTTGTGGAGCAACAGTACGAGCTGTGGCAGGGGCTGTGGTCAGGAAGGCAGACTTTTAGTATGCATGCTGCTGCTCCATTCATTTGTTACGGACCAGAAGATAAAAGGCTGAGCCATTGTGGCATCTAAGCAGCGTGTTAGCTAGAGGTGCATTAGCTGTATTAGCTATTCTTTAAATACAATTATGTTTGTGGCAGTGAATTTTTGTGCTTATGCCGTCCTTTAGGCCTAGAGGTACCCAATTGCTTGTGAAGCACTGTAGAGCAGGTTTAATTTTAAATTCTCTCTGGTCATGCAGTGTATCATTCATGGGATTTGATAATGGATATCCTATATCAATCTCTGTGCCCTCAAGTCCCAGTGCTGTTTCTTCACACAACCACTGATCATAAGGGGTAGAAATCTCCATTTTCAGCTCACTTGTTGCTTCATAAATCATCCTTCCTTCTGATGAATGTCATTAATATTCTTTGTGTCTGTGCAGAAGACAGAGGTTGGAGAGGCACTTGCTTGTCATTCAACATGGCAGGGAATGTAAAAAAATTCACACGCATGCTACTGGAATGCAACAGCAATGACAAGCTATGTGGTAAGATTCACAGATTCCTTTAAGTAATAAGCTTTCACATGCTGAGTGGGAATGCCAGCTTTGCTAAAAAGTGGGCCAAGCCCTTTCCTCCACCTGCATCCAATTCCACACAGAAGGATTTGACTGAGCTTTCCCTGCATTGTGTCTCAGGATGGAAACTTTCAAGGGGATGTAGCCTTTGTGGTGGGATTCGTCTCACATAATTTTAGCCATTTTAGAGTATATCTGTTTCGAATGAGACATAATATGGTCATAAAACAGACTTGCTGCTTCCCTAGGGACCAGTCATGTGAGATTTTAATTTCATGCCTTTATGTCATCTTTGGGAACTGAAATGTGGACTTGTCCTATGCAAAAATAACACCACCTCCAAATCTGTGGACCTAAGAGTTAGTTATCTGCAACATCTTTGTTAATTGCAATGTCTTCTGATCCAGTCCAAACCAGGTGACCACACTGTGTTATGCTCCCCATAATTTTAATGGCAGGATCTGAACCTGTAATTGCACATGTATTTGTGATGGCACAGCAATATCCAGCCCTTCCCATCTCCCTCCTGACTCTCTGCCAGGGCTGCCTCTGTCTCACTGGTGGATGATACACTTGGCTACAATTCTTGGCCTCTGTATTGAGGCAATAAAGTAAGTGACCTTGGGTGCATGAGTCCCATGGTTTCATGCAGTTTAGATACTCTGCACCTTTGAAAAATAGGATTGCAGCACTACCAGTGTTCAGTTTCTATTCCAAGGAGCAGAGGATAGATACACATGTTTTTAGGGTTGAAAGGCACTGAAATGGGTTATTACTACTTTGTTATACAGAACCAGTGTGCATCAGTCAGTGCTGCTTATTCCTTGGCTTCCCATTTTCTTTTTCTGCTAATAGTTGTGCGTGAATATCAGACCGAAGTGATTGTTGTCCCAGTTCTCCTTGTGGGTTTTTTTGTCATCACGCTAACTGTGATCCTTTGGCTCCACTGTCGAGGCTTGCGAGCAAAGCAGGAGCAATCATCATCATCTGCACACCAAGTGCATCAGTCAGTGCTGCTTATTCCTTGGCTTCCCATTTTCTTTTTCTGCTAATAGTTGTGCGTGAATATCAGACCGAAGTGATTGTTGTCCCAGTTCTCCTTGTGGGTTTTTTTGTCATCACGCTAACTGTGATCCTTTGGCTCCACTGTCGAGGCTTGCGAGCAAAGCAGGAGCAATCATCATCATCTGCACACCAAGGTAAA